TTGAAATGTAATAACAAATTAATATTTTTACGTAAAATGTTAAAAATAAGTATTAAAAACGATTAAAAAACAATTAAAAAATAAAAATGAATGAAACGAAGAGAAGAGAAATGTGTAATAATAATAGCAATAGAAATGTATAGCAATGTTGAGCGCCTGTGTATTACTGAAAGAAGTGGAGATCATTGTAAACGATTAGTTCTCTATTCACTCTTTCTTTATGTTTCTCTTGCAAAACATCCTTTTTATTAATATGAGATCTCATTATACTCTCGATGTCTTCACTTGACATACTTGTGATCCTTTTGCTATTACTTCTGTAATTCTTCTGTAATTGTTTTGCTTTCATCACACGTTTGTTGCTTTCGATCTCTTCTTCCAGTTCTTTAATTAGGGAACGACTCGTATCGGAGACTAACATGTGATCCAAACTATATCCGTTCTCATCCTTAGCGACCAGATGTTCCTCAACCATACCTTTAATCCAATATTCAGTATAATTAATATTCAAATTTAATTATTTTATATGTTAGCATTATTTACTTCGTGTCTTGAATATGGATGATTTATTCCTCCGAGTTGTCAATGTCTTCGACATATTATTAACGCTTTTAATAAATTGAAGCAATTTTTACAAATATTTGTAATACACTTAGATATTGTAAATTAATGATTTTGTGATCAAATAAAAATATAATTAAAATGAACAATAAAATAATGGAGTTATGACCCGTATTTGTAAAAGACATTTATTGTTTGCTAATCTTTTAATTATTCACATTTAATAAAAAAAAATATTAAAGGTTTTTCCAAAAAATGTTTTACCACTTTAATCATTGTTTATAAGAGAATAATTAATTAATTATTTATTTAAAGGATAAACCTATGAATTCCTAAATATTTAGTATCTAAAAATTTCCAGTTATTTTAACCAAACTTTAAACATAATAAAGGTTTTATTAAACAACTGCTATCTTTAACTTTTTTACATATTTCATTTTATTAATATTTTAAGAATATTTTGAAATTTAAATTATAGCTAAAGTGATTGAAATAAGTGTAACTTTTATTTCATAGTTATATTATATACAACTTTTATGTAACTTATAAATAAACTTATAAATTAAATCTATTGTCAATAAATCAATATAATAATAATCAGCGGATTCCAAAAGGCCAGTTTGAGGCAAATTTTATAAAAAATTGTATACATTATACATACACTATTCATAGTCTATTCATATTTTGGAATGGCCTGATAATAATTGTGAGTTTAGAGTCTAAACTTTAGACATTGTATAAAGAGTTTTGTATTGTCTTGTCTTTGATTGATTGTTATCACTGTTTCGGTTGTGCTGTCCATCATATGAGACAGTAATTGAATCAATTTGTCGATTGTTGTGCAAACAGTTTGAATTGAATCAATAATATAAGTCATTGTCTGCATTGGTATGACATTAACCCTCTCCTAAATGCCATTTCTTTTGATGAGCCCTAAACTCAATGCCAACACTAATAAAATCTCACTTTATTTCTGAGAGTTTTAGATAAAATTTCAATTAAAAAAGGCTTAAAATTATTTATGAAAGCATTCCTACAATTATGAAAAATCAGACTTCATGTTAATTCAAGAGATTTAGAGTCTATTATCCTTTTGTTGGGTAGACTTATAATCCATAAGAGATTTTAATACGATTAACAATACATGACAAATAATATCAATTAATATTACATTATGTTGTTTTGATGTAAAATTTTATTGTGTTTTTCAATATTAGAAATTGTTTACTAATTATTTTGCAAATTATTATTCGGTTAATTAAGAAAGTTTTGAGTGAAATTCAAACAAGATTTTTGTAGAAATAAGCAAATTTACACCAATTTTACATTATTGTTGGTCTCAATTCTCGCAATACATACCATCAAAACATTCATTGATTTAATTCATTAAAATCATTAACAATACGATAAATGCTGGGAAGAAATGGTTAATATTTTAAACAAATCCATTATATGTTGGTTTTAGACGACATAAAGTTTTATTTGTGAGTTTAATGATTACAATCACTGGAAATTATTGCTAAACTCCTAATTAAAAGTTTTAATCGGAAAATTCAATCTAGATTCTAGAATCTTCAAATGTAAGCTAATTTCACATATAAACCAAAGTTTGAGTCAATGGACATACAGTATAATAATATTGGAGATTTCACTATGAGACTTATTATAACCAGATTTTCACTAATTTGTGAATAAAATTACCAATTTTTAATCCAATTTTAATAATATAACTGTTGAACAGAATATTAAATTATCATAAATATTCTGATTTTATTAAATAATATTATATTTATTTAGATAGAAATAATAAACAACAATCAGTAGTGTATTAATATACTGTATTTATTATAGTTTTTTTTAACCACAATTTAGCTATCAATAATGTGGTTTATAGGATTGTTCGACTACCCCTCCTCCACCCCCTCACGGCCCCCACTCTATGGGATTTAACATGAGATTACAGCTTAAGTCTATGGCTATACTTTAACATGGGTATTACTAAATCTATGGGACTAATGCTATAGACAATGTTAAGTCTAATGCAAGTTAAGTTTGGACTAATGCTAATCCTATGGACATTGCTAATCCTATGCATCACCCGAATTGTGGTTAACGTATAGCATCGCTGTGTGTGAGTTGTTATAGATAACTACAATATTTTAAATTAATATTTTAATTCAATTTATTTACTGTATATAATCGTGAAATAAGTAATTTATTTTCGATGTATTAGAATATAATTCATACAAAATAATCAATTGACTCGTATGTACCATGTTTTGCAGTCATTTCCGATTACCTGCACTAATGATGTAATAAATCGTAAAAATATAGGATATGAATCACATCCTATGATGATGGTTACAAATACACCTATGTCACATTTATGTTATTATACTGTATCATACATACAGTCTGTATGTAATAGAATATTTATAGCGTTGGTTAAATTGAAAAACATTCTATAAATATTGTAATACAATAAATTTCTCGATAAATGATATCAAATATTTTAAATTAAATTAAACTTGAGTTCGTAATTAAAATAACTATTTATACTTAAATTGTCAAATGTATTAACAAATGTGGTTTGATTAATAGATGTAAATTTTTATAAATACAATTGTTTGATATAAATAAAGATAATGTTAAACAAATTTATTAACAATTAAAAGTTGCGATGCAGTGTCGGAAACTTTGGTTTATAAACATTGTGGACAATTAGCCCAAAAATGTATTTTAATTATACGTTATGCAAAATTTGCAAATAGTTGCACTGAAGCGCACCTCTCAATTCATTAAATAATTGCTTAATAAGTATAATAATTAAATCAATCAATAATTGAATAGATAGTATTATCACGTTATTTGTTAGGTTATCACGTTGTTATGGGAATTTAACCAATTTAGTGCAGTTCTTGTGTTTTTTGATTCAACGCATACAGAAAAATTAAATTGTATGCTAATTAACATAACTATTCAATATTTAAATATATTTATTAAAATAAACTTTTTAGAAAATTATAAAAAATTTCATTTTATTCAACATTAAATATTTATATAATTATATCATTTATTATATCAAACACTTATATTTAAAATAAAAACATTATTATTAATCAGATTTTTTGAAAGTAATTGAATATTCTTTAAGCAATGACTTATTGAATATAATTAAAACTTGATAAAAGAGAATTCTTGAAGATATTTAATATAAAATGTGCTTTTGTTATAAGTTTAAAATGAGTTATTCATGCAATGAATGAATTGAATCAAAATTATTGAATAGCAACATATGGTTCAATATTCTGTATTAACTTTTATTTTAATAGATAAAATAATTATAATTTATTAATGAGACCGATTTGAGAACTTACTATGTTATTAATATCGATTAATAAATCCATGCTAATATTATGATACAAAATACAGTATTGTTAAATACTGTAAAATATAATAAATATTATAAAATAAATAATAATAGATAGTTGACAAATAGATAGTATAAAACATTAATACAATTTGTTCATGTTAGATTTCAATTTTTGGATTGATTTTTTTGTGTTACGTGACTGAACTGACCAACAAAATAACATAGTTTACAATTGTATGTATAGTTCAGTTCAGTATACTTTACTATAGTTTTTATGTGTTTAGTTTTTACCCGCAGAATATGTGAACATGTATTGCAGAATATCTCTCAATCAATTGTAAATAATGCTGTATTTCTATGATATGAAATGTTTTAACACGAAATACACATGTATTTTATCAAAGCAAATATTAAAACAAAAAACATCTAAACATAATAGTCTAGCAAAACCTAACAGTAAATCCTTTCATTAATTAAAGTGCGGTTCAATTTTCCTGCGGTTATATCGCCTTTAAAGCAATGGTATGTATTACTAATGAGACTCACTATTGGTTATACACATAGTTATCGTAATTATGGATATTTTTAGCAAAAAAGTTTTTTCCTAAATAGATATCAAACAAAACATTGATTGCATTCTCTTATCATGCGATTAGATATAACTTGACTTTAGTTCCCAATCGACATATTTCATCGACACTCAAACTCTCATTCATATGATTGTTATAAAAACATATTATAAATATTACGATAACATCAAGTGATTATTTAATATTGAAACAACAATGTTATGTATTTTTACGTCACATTTATTTATTTATTGCTTACGCTCTACACTATAGGTGCAAATCCGGATCGGAATCTGATTTTGATGACACGAATTATAATCAAACATTACCTGAAAATGCAATTACAATACATTTTAGTTCATTTGTAGATAACTTATTTAATACCCAAATAGCTATTGAGAGAAATGACAAAAAATAGTGAAAACTAATTATAACAGAATAAATTTAATTACAAATATTTATAATTTATAAAACAATTTACGTGATAAATTCTAATATAAAATATTCTATATATATTAAAATATATTTCAATCAAGTCAGATAAAATTATCATTGCTATAATCTACTGTATTCTGTTACTGAACCAAAATCTATACCTCATTAATGATACAAAAACACAATAAATATTTTAACAAAGAAAGTTTATATTCTTGTATTTAATTAATTTTATAAACTATCTTTAAAATGCCTTTTTGTATTATACCATAGAAACGGGAATATTATTGTATTTTCTTTAATATAAATGATTTATATTGAATTTATGGCACAAAACAGTTAACCATTATTTTTTGCTTAACAAATATTTAGTGAGATATTAGTGAAAACTGATTACTTATTTAGTTCTTTATTATTTTAGTTATTTATTGGATTAACATTTAGAGCTATTAAAGCAAAAATAACAGAAATATAGTCTATAATAATAGGCATATTATTGCATATTTTAAGACATATATAAATCTTTATTTCTCTATAGCATCTGATGTGAGCTCTTATTTACATTGAATTCAATATTTCATATCTTATTATTGATCTCATATATAGAATACAAATATTCAAATAAAATGTTATATGAATTTAAGCATTACTTATAGTAATTTTTAAATATTTTTAAAAAATAAATGAAATCTTAGAAACGTTTAGAATTTTTAATTATATAATGATTTATGTGATAAACATTATGAAAATAAAATTAATTGGCAAATAAT